CCTGCTTCTTCCACTCCCCCTGCTTGTGTTCCCTCTCTCGCTGTATCTCTCTCTGTCAAATAAATAAATAAAATCTTAAAAAAATAATAATAATAATTTAAAACAGTCAGGGTCAGACGCCTAACTACTGTCTTTATTGTTCAAGTTGTGTCTCCCCAGCTGGAATCTAAGTCCCACAAGAGTGGGGATCTAGGTACCAAGTGCCTAGAATTGGGCTTGGCCTACAATTACTAATCAAGACATATTTGTTGGATGTTGCTGAATAAACTAGCATCACGGAGGCTGGAAAGTAAGACTGAACATGACTTTGGCTCAGCATCCCTCACTGAGAAATATGGAGTGAGGCTGCCTGCCTTAAGCTTGGCTCATTGTCAATTTCACATATTTTCTTAAGACAGAGTTTCCTAAACGTCAATCTTGTACATGCCAACCTCCTGATTTTTGCCCTAAGAACAACCTATGCTTTTGTTTACTTAAAACTTTTCCTTAAATAGACTTACTTTTTGACAAATACATTTATTTTCAAAGAAAATTGTATATCACAGCTTTGAGGTACTAGTTGTATTTTTTCTACTACATGTTAAACATATAACTGAATCACTATATCATATACCTGAAACTAATATAACACTGTATGTTAACTAACTGGAATTAAAATAAAAACTTAAAAAAATTAAACATATGGCTATTAAATGAATAGTGTTCATTTGTAGCACCTAAATCTTATTACCCCAGTGGAAACCTGCCTATGCTTTTCCCTTCAACCGCAAAGATCCTTCTGCCGCCCTCTACCTACGCAAATCCTATGTGCCCTTCTTCAGGCCTCAGGAAGCCCCCCCAGCTCTCGCACTCACTCACTTCGCTGAGCTCCCCCCATACTCACAGAAAAAAAATACATGTCATGCTTACACACCATGTGGTTCTGTTTTGTTTCACAACATAAGATTATAAAATATCTTCTTAGAGCTATAGAAAGGCATTTGAGTATTAACTCCCTTTTTTTTCAGGCCACCAAAGAGATGAAGAGGCTTGCCCCAAATCCCTGCGGGGGCAAAGTCAAGACTAGAACTTGGACCTTCTGATGCCCCATCCTCAGTGGGAATCTGCAAGCAATGAGTCCCTTTAATGTGTTCAGCATTGTGCCCAGGACAGGAGATAGTGGTGGGAACAGAAGAGATCCAGACTTGACCACACAGAGCTTACAGTGGTGCTAGGAAGCTGTACACTAAATAAACGATTATATGTGCTTAGATAAGTAGTTGCAAGTGCCTTGGAAGAGAAATGCAGGGTTCAGTAGGGACCCCATCCTATTTGGAGGATTGTGAAAGTCTCACTAAAGTAGTATGTTTAAATGCATAAGAGTCAGCTGAAGAGGAGCTGGTGGATTTCTAAATGGTACCAGGCTAACTCAGAAAGGTTTGATTTGATGTTTGAAACCTGCAGTGCTTCAGGGTTAATTAGACCACTGTGGCCCAATCTACTTGCCACGGGGCTCACGGAGAGGGCTACCAAGCAGCTCAGAGACTCTGGTGCCTCTGAGCACTGCATTCAGCAAGAAGGTGACAGGAGATGCTTCAGGTCTACTCTGGGAGCCGGGGGGCAGTGGGCCTCACTCCTTGCTGGCAGAGTTTGGGCATATTGGACACACGGGTTGTTTTTGCCAAGGGAGTGCCTACAACGTGAGCTTTGACATTAACAAAAATAAATTCTTAGCTTCTGGAAGTGGAAAATCTTAGTATTACTTACAAGGCACACTGTAAACCTTATGTCGTTTCACCTAAGTGGTAAAATGCAGATTTTTCAAGAAGGGAATGCATTTCAGTCACTGTCACTATTATATCCAGAGTTTATCTTCATGTTTCCTTGTGAGATTTCAGTGGAGCTGTTTAAACTCTACCTAAGAAACTCCAGCCGCATCCTACACTGGTCTTAGAAAATTAAACCTGACAAGCAATGTGATGGTGTAATGATGTAGAAGAGGGACATGTGTGGACTGAGAGCAAGTGGGCTTTGGTCTCCAACTCCGCCTTTTACTAGGCTGGAAAAATGACTTAACTCTTCTGAGCTTCAATGTCCTCAACCATAAAGTGGGGTTAATAAAAATCCCTGCACCTCGTGAGGTTCTTGAGACAGTAAATGGGACTCTAGGTGAAAATTCTTTCATGAGATCTAAAGTGCTTACAAAATGTCACTTAAAAATGAACGTCCTATTACAAATCCTCTTCTAAAGTTCAAACAGGCTCAGAGACCAGAGCAAAGGTCTCCTGATTCCCACTCGGTTTCTCTTCCCCAGGTTGCTGCACTGCGGCTTCCCTTCCCAGGCTAGAAAGTCTTGGCAAGAGCAAGTCCCTGGGGGAAATGACTAGGTGCTGCGAGGGAGGGGCAGGGAGGAGTGGGATCCCCACGAGGGTGAGGAGAGGGCACTGGGAGGGGAGGGGCCAGGGCAGACGCTCCTACCTTCTCAGTTTGCAGAAGGCTCTGACATTAGGCCTTGTCAGGTCTCCGTTGCTGCCTCTGTCCACCTTTCAATTCGCCCGTCTGTGTCGTTGAAGAGGCCCTAGCATAAAATAACAGGCTTTTTTGCTTTTTCGAAAATTTTGAAAGCAAAGTCAGGTTTTAATGATCAGTATTCTGTTCCTTGGTATTTTCTTTCAAGCAAAGGCCATGTTATTGTAAGATACTACATTTCAATGGAGCTATTCTTTCGTCCCCAGCAAACATTCCTGAGTGGCAGGTTTTAGGAGACGTTCCAATTTTTATTGCTTCTGGTGTCCGATAACCTTGGAATGAGTATCTGTCTCCATGCCCCCCAAGGCCATGTTATTTCAGAAAGTTACAGCTCTTAAAATTGTTCTTTAATAAAAGCAAGTGCCACTAATTCTAAGTAAAGTGAGCTTTCCAAATAAGAACAACTGAGAATGTTTAAAAGAAAAAAAAGAAAAGGAAGACACTTCAACAACAGGAGTCCACAGTGAAAACTGTGCATAGTTGAATTACTTCAGGGGTTTTCACAGCCATTTAAAAAGATGTCATCAGCAAACTCATTCAAATTTGCCAAGAATGCTGAGCATGATGGGCACGTTGTATCTGTAGGCCAATATTCAATCCAGGTCGAGGAATCTAAAGGATAGATGTACCTGCCAAGAAAAAAGGATGATGAAACTGTTGTGGTGATGGCCACAGATAGAGAAGAGCTGAATTCCACAGAGCTCAGGCTGCTCAGCCTGCTTAATCCCTGTGAGGCCACACTGTCAGCCAGGCTCTGCCTCACTGGCCTCCCCCTGGGAAGGACCACAAACCCCCAAATCTCAGGAAACTGCTTGGGGCTCCCATGATTAAAGGCAGGAACAGTATCTCTTTCAAGATCTATTTTTTAAAAAGAGACAATAAGATGCATATTTAAACATTTCTCTCTTTACAAACAGAACCATCCAAGAACTTATTGAGGGGGGCAGATGTGGTATAGAGGGGGATGGATGAGCGCCTTCAGAAGCATCCTCAGACCCAGGTCCTCAGTTGGTTTATCCATCAGTGAGTGCTCAGCCGTCCTCATGGTTTTAAGTGGTTCTTCGTTTTAAATTCATATTGTTTCATTGCTTCTTGGCCTTATTGCTAAGATCAAGTGTAAATTCACATTATCGCATTTATGCTCCTAATGGTTTGTTGGTTAACAGCAGGACACATAAGAAACATGTAATTAAGGATAAATGACACCTAGTTTTGAAGGAAAGATCAGAGACTCCAAAATGACTTACTTGAAACTGAAATTGTATTTTATCTGGAGGGCTTCTTTACCCATAATTAAATACTGTCTTCCTTTTTCCAGGTCAGCGTTAGCACACGTGGCCTTTTTAATGAAGGTGATTTCAGAGACTTTCTCGACAACAGCTTCGCCTGAGAGGCACACAAGTAAGATTATCACATTCATGTTACGATATTACAAGTATAAACTCTTAACAATTCCAGTTCCTCATGGCTAGTTATTAATGAGTATAAACTTATATTGAGTGGCTATTGGAGAGTGACAATGTCCATATGGTTAAGACTGCCATTTGTTGGCTGTGTGGCCCTGGACAAATGAGGTTCAGACCCATCATCTGGAAAGTTGGGAATGACAATAAAACCCACTTGTAGAACTGTTGTGAATATATGAGAAGTGCTTACAACACAGCAAGCACTGTATAAGTGCTTCTTACCCTTACTCCTGTAGAACCAGGAATTAAAAGAACTTCTCTAAAGTTGAACATTAATCCCCAAATGTTATACAGCAAAATAAAAAAGTATTTGGTAGCTGGCAATGGATGACTTTGTAGAGAAGTGCAGGATATGTGAAAGACTTGGGAGGATTTGAAAGAGGATAACTTTGGGATTCCCAAAGAACTCAGGAGCCGTCAAGAAGCTGGCTCCGTTACCTCGAATGCATTCTTCCTCTGTTGTCCTGTTGCATTTCTACCCATCTTGAAACACATCTTCAATTCTCGAGGTATCCAGTAAACACTCCTGGATGTTCTTTGTCATAAATATCTCTGTCTCCCCCTTACTCCCATTATACTTGAATTTCTATCACAATGTTTCATTCCATGTATCTGTCTTCAGCTAGGCTGGAAACTTCTTGAGGCAGGGACTGGGTCTGACTCATTGCTATAGATTTGGGACTGATGATCAGTTATTTAACTCTGACAGAGTTATCCTAATTGTTAAATCCTGAAAAACTTCTGAACGTATACTTAATAGTAACTGCATATATGGTAAACTTTAATTAGTAATATTTAACAAGGGTGCACACATCAGTTTGAGCTGATTTTCTTATACTCTCCCGATGACCATTAAGACATGACTGCCCCGGGCAGCAATATCTAAGAGCATCCCCAGCACTGTTTACCAATTCAGCCCCTGTCATGGTAAACAGTGTGGCTGCTGGAGCCTTATCATTATTTTTAAAAGCCTTTTGTTATAGGAAATCTCAAGCATATTCAGAAGAGGGACTAGTTAATTAACCTCAGCTTCCACAATCACTGATCTTTTTTCCATTTATATCTTCACTCCAAGCACCCTATGTTTTAGGGGAAACACCAATTATCATTATCCTTGAACTGCGTGGTTGTCCTCTGTTCTAAGTAGTTTAGTTTTTAGTTTGGCTTATTGTTTGTGTGCAGCAATTCTTGGGGTAAGTGGTAAATGTTTGATGTTCTGATATTTATATAAATTCCAAATTTGTATATATTAAAAAATGGACACCCAGAATGAAGAGATAATAAAATATGCAAACATTTCTTAACATTTCCTTTTAAATATCATAAATATGAATCTTCTGAATGGACAGGAGAGCAAAGAAGAGATGATATTGATAAAGAACTACAGCTTGGGAATCATCTGATACTGCACAACATTCAGAACAGCCTGGGATGTCTTCTGATACTATGCAAGAATTGGTACAATATAAGACAAATAATTTGTATTTCTGGAATGAAAAGCACTTGATTATTTCAGTAAAAATAGGAATGGTTTATTCTTTCTTCCTTACAATGTGAAAGATGGATGCAAATGGTGCTCAAAAGTTAGACTGTGAAAAGATCAGAGTGCTAAACACCTATTTTGGTCAGAATAACAATCATGATTCAGATAAAGAAAATTTGTGATCATCAATGAGAAAAAAATAGAATAACATCACAAATCAATTTCATACAGTAAAACATTTGAAATAATAAAAACCAGAAAAACATTTTTATCAGAGTATCCATCAAGCAAATAAAGATTTAGAAAGTATTATTAGAATCTAACTCTAGTCTATGGCTAAAAATGATGAAGAATTTTCATACTTGAAACACCTGATAGAATTTCAAAAGAGAAGAAAATCAGTATAAACATAAAGTTGCAATTTAGATTTACGGTCCTACTTATTGCAAAATTTAAACCTACTGAAATGAGAACACAACTTTTTGGAAAATATAAATAAGGTGATAAAATTTCAATCATTGAGAAAATCAACTAAAAAAAGATCTTTAAAATAACATAAAATAAAAAATTGGGGACTTTGAAGACCACTTAATGGGTTTTGTTGATTTCAAGGTACTGGAAGGAACAACTGAACAACATATCAAACTGTTTGTGAGAGAAAGGAGTCAATGAGGAATATTTATGTGAACACCTTATTGGTACAAATAGATTGCCAGGGAAGAGTCAGGCTTCAGCAAGAATTCTGAAGTTCCCAGTTGTTCAATTTGGTGTTGACTGAATTACCTGTCAAGCAGGTATCAAGTGTCTCTGGACACTACAAAGATAGGAGCCAAGCAAAATCTCACTTTAAATATTGTCTTCATAAATTCAGTGTTTACTACTGCATATCTAGGCAGAAGTAAGTAATAATAGGAAAAGCTTTAAAAATTGCAATAATGAAAAAAAATTATGATAATGAAAACAGGAAAAATATTGGGATTTTGACAGGCAGCTGGTAGTGCAAGGATCACAAAGGCAGTTTGGAAATTATATCAAGCCTGCTTGGTTCACTTTGATAGATACTGTGATATAAGAGCAAATATTTAGAAAGTGGATAGATTTCAGATATGCTTTTTGGTGATTTGCTCATGATAGTCTAGCAATTATGTCAATACTAACTTCAGATGTTCAAGAAAATATATTTCAACTTTAATAAGTTCACAGATTAGGGAATGAATAATGAAATTGTGTAAAAATAAAGGAAACTATGAAAGCGGAGCAAGAGCTTTTGACAAAATCAAGAATGATTACAAATTTGATATAAAACAAAATAAAATCAATTTAAGGGAAAAGATAATTATATGAAAATGTTTTTGTTTTAATGGCAAAAGTAAAAAATTTGATGAACTTTTAAGTTTTTTAAAAAAATTCTGAATCCTAAAACTTTGTCTATGGTGTTTGTAAAACTCTCAAGGGCAATAAAAGTTAAGAAAATTAGGAAAACTAAATATTCAATAAATTTTCAAATTTCAAAAAATTCAATAAATTGTTGTCATGATTCAGCTGATAATAGAGATACACTGAATACATAAAAATGTCAGACAGTGTCCAAAGGACTAGAAACATTTTGAATGTAATTACTACCAATTTAGCAGAAGCTGATAGAGACTTCAGGACCATGAATGATACTGTTGCTACTAGGAGAAATTACTTATTGAGATTATAGGTTGTGTAAAGACTATAAATTCAATAAAGATGTAATCGGAAAAGTTTGATGTGGTTCCTTATTGTCAAATCCAAGCTCAGACAGGGGCAATCCTGTAGTGAGTCAAGCAAAATAAGACTGACAATTTCTAAAAATAAAAAACTTATTTGGAATTATTATAATGATCTAATGAATCATTTGTGTGATAATTTACATAATTTGACAAGCAGTTTTATAATATTTACAGCTTAGTTTAATTAGAGAATACAAGGGAACATATTTTAAAATGTTTTATATGTTATTTTACATGTGAATTCATTTTATTATGTTGGTTAGTTAATAAAAGTCTCATTTATCCTTACATGGCATCCAACCTACAGCTTTGTACTTCATGGACGCTCTTAACTGGTCTCCCTGTTTCTACTCCTGATCCCCCCCACAAAAGAAACCAGAATGATCTTTTAAAACCATAAATCAGATCATGTTGTTTGCGTACCTCAAACCTTTTATTAACTTCCCTTTGGAATTCCAGAATAAAATCCAAATTTCTTGCCATGCCTTATAAATCCCTGTACGACCCAGCTCCTGCCTACCTCTCGGCTTCATCTCATACTAGGTTCTTTAGCTCCCTGGTGGTGCCAGGTTACTTGCCATCTCAGGGCCTTTGCACATTCAGTTCCCTCTCTACTCCACCCCTTTAAGAATGGCTAACTCCTGATACCACCCCCAAAACACGCCATCTGTTATCACAGTGAAGGAGTTTCCCACATTAATTACGTGTCTCAAATATAGTACTTGTTATGATTTGTAATTGTTTAATTTGTTTGTTCATTTTCTTTCTTCTTTTTTTAAAATGTATCTCCTCAAACAGAATATAGACGTTGTGAAGGCAAGAACTCTGGCTGTGTTATTCAAGTTGTATTCTCTGTGACTAATATAATGCCTAGTCTACCAACATAATGTCTCATTAATGGCACATAGTAAGTACTAAATATTTGTTGAGTGAAAGAATGAATGAATGAATTCTCACCAGCTTTGTAGATATCCAGGAGGGTTGCAGTGTACTTAATAAAGACATTTTCTTCAGTGATAGATGTGATACGAACTTTATAAGCTGGTAGAAGAAACAACATAAGAATTCATGCTTAATATCGCTAATGCCATGTCCAGCAGAAGTCAGAGTTTGTCAAACAAATGAGAAATGAAGCATACCAAGCTCTTACGGGCACGCTGAGGTAAATCTCATTTCTTCCAAAAAGCCTTCCTAAACACTCTCAATCTGACTCTACTGATGATGACTAATGATTCATTCTAGGAATCATTAGACCTAGCCACTGTTATAGAACAGGCTGATTAGGATAACAGCAGCATTAAATTAAAAGACAGAAGCACACTAAACAAACAAAATATGCCTTTGTTAGACGTAAAGTTCAGATTCTGATCCTTTAAATTAGTGGGGTCATGCCCATCGGGAACGTGGAAGAGCCCCTTCCTTTTCCATCTGCCCACAGAGGGGCCTTTATCTATCATTCAGGCCTGCCCTATGGGCCTCCTGTTCCCTTGCCTTGATTCCTTGGATACCTCCAATGGCTCTGATCTTTGGATTTTGATAGGATTTGGTCTTCTGACGCATCTTTGCTGGGATTGGCAGCTATCTGACACGAGACATTCTCTATCCTGTTTTCTCTTCATTCAGGCATCGATTTTTAATCCATGGTATTTGATCTCAGTTTTGGGATGAGCAGCTTGAAGGGACCTATCCCTTCTATGTAACCTAAGAAAAGATTCTATTATTTTTGTTTTTGATGGGGTTGAAGTGAATGACCTAAAAGGTTTGTCCATTTTTGAGATTCCAGCTAGCTAGATGAATGAATGAACTCACTGTGCCAGAACCAAAGGTCAAGTGAATTAGTAGCCTAAAACAGATTTTAACATGTCCTGAATAGGAGTGCCTGGGTGGCCCAGTTAGTTAAGTGTCTGCCTTTGGCTCAGGTCACGATCTCAGGGTCCTGAGATTGAGCCCCACATCAGGCTTCCTGCTCAGCAGAGGAGTCGGCTTCTCCCTCTCCCTCTGCCTCTCCCACAACGGCCCCCTACCCTTACCCATGCTCTCTCTTCTGCTCACTCTCTCTCTCAAATGAATAAGTAAACTCTTAAAAAAAAAATGAAGATGAATTCTATGGAAAGACTATAAACCATACCCAATTTATTCTGATGGCTATATTTCCAGTAAGTGAGATCGGTGTAATATAATGGAAAAAATATTGGAGACCAGGATGCATCCTAGTTTTACTACTTAATTCCTGCATGACTTTGAACAAATTATTTAATCTCCCTGAGCCTCAGTTTCTTCACTGGCAAAATACAGATAATCCTCTGTTACCTCAAAGAGGTCTTATGAGACCCCAATGAGAAACCATATATAAAAGCAGTCAGTAAACAGAAAGTGCTGAATTAACTGTACTTACCTTTCATTTATAAATAATACCCTACTTTCATATACACACACACAAAAGGTTTGAGATCATGTACAATATACTCTTTCTCTCTCTCTCTCTTAAAAAAAAAAAAGAAGCCAGAAATAAACATTAGAAACCAATTATGATATGGTTTCACTCTTATGTAGAATATAAGAAACAGGGCAGAGGACTGCAGGGGAAGGGAGGGGAAAACAGAATGGGAAGTCATCAGAGAGGGAGAAAAACTGTGGGAGACTCTTAACTATAGCAAACAAACTGAGGGTTGCTGGAGGGAAGGTGGGTGGGAGGGATGGGGTAATTGGGTGATGGGCATTAAGGAGGGCACCTGATGTGATGAGCACTGGGTGTTATATACAAAACTGATAAATTATTGAACACTACATCTGAAACTAATGATGTACTATAAGTTGGCTAATTGAATTTAAATTAAAAAAAGAAAGACAAAAAAAGGTTAATATCCAAAATATATAAGGAACTTACACACACACACACACACACACACACACACACAAAAGAAAAAAAAGAAAACAAAGGAGCTAATTCTCTGAATTTAAGACAAGACTACAACTGTACTTGGGCATCTGATACAGCTCTGAACCCTGGACAACCAGAAGGAGATGCTCCTTTTGAAGTGGAAGATTGCAATTCTGCATATATTTAAAATGAGTTAGTATTGATATTTTTACCTTGTCTTTGAAGGGAGTTTGAAAAATTCTAAACCCCCAAACCACCTTTGTCTCTGCCTCTGCTCAACTGACTGGAAGAATAGTGAAATCTTACACCTTCGTGGTTTCTCATAAGTTCTCTTTGAATATATTTTAGTTCAGTATGTTTAATTCGATGGGCTCTGTTGGAGCAAAGTGTCTCAGCTGGGTGTGTACATCACTCACTTTTAAATGAAAGTCACATTTCTTTGCTGAAGGATAATAATTTTGCATGTGAATGTTAAAAATCGATGGCATTTTCCTTCAAGGGAACACATGGCATGTAGTATCCAAATAGTCACTATGAAAAGTTGTTGATCTCTCTAACAGATCATGTTTTCATAAAATTTTATGTTTAATGGAACTCTATATAGAAACTTTGAACTTACCATAGGCAATGTCTGGTTTACATGCTGTTTCTTTTCTAGTATCTGCAGAGATTGTCAGATCCAGTTCTGTCTGCATTTGTCCGCAGTCAGCTGGATTTTGTGAAAAATGGCAAAAGTTAGGTTAACATAAAGAGGCAGACACTCCCTTTGGCAGTAAACACAGTTTTCATAAGCCCTGACAATCCAGTATAATCTTACAAATGCCATTTTCTCCTCTTCCATAAAGTGAAACATTATATAAAGCAAAAAGAAAACAAAATAAACAAAAACAAAATCTTGGACATGAAGTTTAGAATGGGTTGTCACTCCACATTCAGTTCTTTAGAAATGTATATGCTTTCATTAAAGAAAGGAGGAAAATTTCCCATTTTGAGTATAATTAAAAGTCCCTTGAAGGAACCGAAATGATAACTGGACTGATTTACAGCTATAAAATGGTACAATAAGTACCTAAGAAATGTATAGATATTAAGGTTTTTGAAAAACAAAATAAACCCCAAAACAACCCAGACCCTCATGGAGTCAGTTGTTAATGATTGTTGAGTTCTGGGTCTTTTCCTTGACCAAGAACCCTGCCTTGGATTTACAGAAGACTGAAGGGAACTGGGCAATAAACAGAGATGTCACTAAGTGTTAAGGAAAAGGAAAAAGAATGGGGCTAATGGCTCAGTCCTGAGCCTCTGTTCTCTTAAGCTGTGGTCCTATTACATTAAAAAGACCAGGTGAAAAGTAAGAATTTCACATCCTGTTATCCCTCTGATATCCAACAATCATCTAGCTGGGGTTTCTCTGTCTTCGTACAGTAGAACCTATCAGGGTTGTCGAGAAGTAGCTTTGCAGTATTCAAGGAATCAGCTTTCAGTCAGCTGAGATGTCTACTTCTGAGGAACGAGTTTGTCAAACAGCTTCTGCCAGATTAGCCCTGGATTACGAGTGGCTGCTTTAAACAAGCATGCAGCCTGAACATGTTACATGAAGTTTACCTTCTACGCATTTGCATGTTGCTCCTTCACAGACTTTCTGAAGTTTGGCATCGGATGGGCTATAAAACATGGTGCATCGTTTATCTGTGGCAATGAAAGCATAGTTAGGAGAGGTGGCTTGATTAACACACAATACATTTATGGATCAGTGAGTCTCTCCCATGGGGCCTTGGAGATGACTTCTTCCAAAATTTCTTTTTGTAACTTAGATGCAGGGAGGTTAAACTGTGAATTGTCTCTCCCAGCATGGGTCCCTCTACCCTCCTTCAAAATGATTTCCCCTTCTGTGCTTGGAATTTTACTGTTCAATATTTCTTAGAATTAAAATATTTGATGCTTCCATGAATGAGAGGAAATAAATTATGTTACATGAGAGTCTACTAAAAGAACTGTAATTGTTTAGGCTGGAGAAGAACAGGGGCAGGGGGTGCCAAATATGTTCCATGTGATTTTGGAAGATAAAACTAGAATGAATGGGTGTAGAGTTTGGTTCATTTTAAGAATTTTTTTAAAAAAGTAGAACTGCCTAAAGTGGAGTTGTCTGTCTTGTGAACCAAAGAGCTCTCCAATCACTTAGTATTCCCAGAAAAAGCTGAGTGATCAAATGTGGGGTCATTGATTCAACATTTATCTATACAGTATTGAACATTGTGTTAGATACTAGGGGACAAGGATGAAAACATTCTGTCTGGGTTTGGTGAGAAAGATATGCAAACAAATAACTACAATGCAATGTGACAACTGCTACAATGGAGCTCTCTGCAAAATGTGATGAGAATAGAGATAAGAAGTTGATTCTGGGAGGATTAAAGAAACTGTTGGGGGGGGGGTATGTGAGCTTCTCCAAAAAGGAGAGATGCAATGAATACTGTAATGAAGGCAAAGTAGTCCTCTGAAGAAATTTTAGAGTAGAGTTGATTACCTGGTCTGTGGTATTCATACACCATGAAAGTGGCAGGACTCAGAAACCCAACTTGAAAAAGTTCAAATATCCGGAATCGAACACAAAGGAACTCATCGGAAGGAATCTGACAAATGCAAGGTTTGAGGAAATTGTGGGAGAGAAGAGACTCAGCATTTCAGCCTGTAAATTTTGAACAGTGATTAGAAATGGGGACTGGTGGAAGGTGGAACTTACCGAATTCAGTTGCAGAATAACATGTCCATCTTTGATTTGGTAATCAGTTAGTAGCTGATCTACCCCTTCCACAAGCTAAGAGAGGAAAGAGAAAGCTTGGATTTAATTTCATGATCTTTTTTTTTTTTAAGTTGATCTTTTTGTTTAAATGTATTCACCCGATATTGGGATGTTAGACATGGGGATGTAATCCACTATTCAAAAAAGTTGAAGAGCCAGCTCCTCCTCTTGAAAAAGTCTGAACATGTAATCATATGCATTCACATTTTGTTCAGACCATGCGAGTCTATGCCGCCACTTTACTTTGAAAAATTAAAACTTAGGTAGGGGCGCCTGGGTGGCTCAGATGGTTGAGTGTCCGCCTTCAGCTCGGGTCGTGGTCCCGGGGTCCCAGGGTCCTGGGATCAAGCCCCACATTGGGTTCCTGGCTCGGCGGGGAGCCTGCTTCTCCCTCTCTGTCTGCCTCTCCCCCTGCTCATGCTCTCCCTTTCTGTCTGTATCTCTGTGTCTCAAACAAATAAATAAAATCTGTAAAAGAAAATATGTCTGGAGACATTTAAAAAAAAAAAACTTAGGTAGATTGTTGGTTTGGAAAGAATATTCTAGGTGATTCTGTGAAGGTGATATATTAAAATGAAAGGAAATAGCTTTATCCGTAAAAGAATGCAGTAAAGAAAACCAAGCATCCATAACAATATGTAAAAGAGAACATTTACAACTCTTAAATCTTCTGGGTTTGCACTGATTCCGGTGGGCAAAGAGATATCCATCACTGCATGGGAAGACCCAGATGATGATTCTTCTTTGCTGGGCTTGTAGCTAAAATAAATGAGAGATAGGAAATTGGAATAAATAAGTAGACAAGATTCTTTAAGAAAAGGCCTTATTTCTTAGTAGGCTTTAATTTTTAATTTGGGTCTCCACTTACTTGCCTCTCTATAATACATGCATTGCAATATCTAAATGTTAGTGTTGCAAGAGATCTTTGAGTCATCGATTCTAACTCTTTGCTCACTTGACCAACACTTTATTGAGAGAGCGAGCATGAGTGGGTGGGGCAGAGGGAGAGGCAGTGAGAGAACCCCAAGCAGACTCTGCACTGTGTGTGGAGCCCAACAAGGGGCTCTATCTTACAACCCTAGGTCATGATCCTGAGATCACGACCTGAGCGGAAACTAAGAGTCGGACGCTTAACCGACTGCGCCACCCAGGCGCCCCTTGACCGATACTTTAAATGGACCTGTGGAGGTCACTCAGTCCAAGCTCTTAATTAACTAGTTAAGGAAACTGAGGACGAGAGTAAGGTACTCATTCAAGGTCACATGACTAGTTCACTCCAAAGCTACATAAGTCTCTTGATTCTCATTCTAGTTCTTTTTCTGATGGAGCATACTCGAAAAAGAAAATGTGTTCTATATTTGAAAGAGACTCAATAAGCATGTTCAGGAAAAGGCTTGAAGGAAATACCCTAAAATGTTAGCAACTACTCTCTCTGGGTGGTGAAGTTATAAGTGATTATCTCTTTTCTTTTCCATGCTTTTTCTATATTTTCTATATTTTCCACAATACTTTATTTTTTAAAAAATGTTTTAAGGACCATCCTCCGTCTAGGAATTGTGTTTGGGATGAAGCTAAGGAAAAAGGCAAAGGGGGTAAAGTGGGATATTTGGTGTTTTTTTGTTTTTCTTTTTGTTTTTTTCTGCTGAGAGAGAGAGAGAGAGAGAAAACCCCACTGAACTGGGGAATCAGGAAACTTGGGTTTTACCCCAGTTCTGCTGAGAGATTTCTACAAATCGTTTTCCCTTTCTGGAGCTCATTTTCGTATTTGTAAAATAAACAGTGAGGGAGTATAAACTTGTGTTTCAAGTTTACCTTTATAATTCCAAGGCCTCGTTTTGAGTGGCAGAGGTTGGTGCTACCACTAAGCAGAATTAGAAGATTTAAAGGGGGCAAGTTGGCAGGTCAGGGACTGAAGACCAGGGACGGGGGCAGAGTGAGGGTGGTTCTGCAAAGTTTGAGTTTCAGTTCCAGCTTCAGCTCAAGATGCTTGAGAGGTAGCTGGACATTTGAGAGTGGAGCCTGGAAGATCAGTCGGAATTAAAGGAAGAAACTGGAGAGACAGCTTCATAGGGGGAAGATAAACTGATCTCACCTGAAGGAATGAGTATTAGTGAAATGGAAGGTTTTATGTGAGTTAGTGAGGTGGCAAGGGATCTCTTTTCCCCAATCACACCTTATGAGGGCAGACCCTATTAGATGTTTTGGATGTAATATTTACTGTAACAATTAAAGATATTATAAAATCTCTGGTTTACAAAAATTTAACCCCATTCTTCACCAAATAAACAGTTAACAACAGACTATAAGACAACATGGAACTGTAAAATGACATCTGGACATCTCCCTAAATGGATGGGTGAGTATCACCAGAAGCAGAGAACTCTTGCTCACAGATGCAAATACTCTGTCAACAGAATGGAAAAGGGCCTCCTGAGTGGAGAATGTCTATGAAAAGTTGCTGGAGCCTGATGACTGGTTGTCATGGTGACTGTTTCAACCGTGGAACAGAAACCTTCCTTTCAAGAAGCCCTTTGCCTGCTGCCAAAGACAGCAATCTCCCCCAAAGGCATTTTGTTCAGAGAGAAGGAGAGAAATGAAATCCTTTTTTCTTTTCTTATGGATACAACAGGGAGGTTGTAAAAAGCTAAATACAGGAAAGAGACCCCCTGAATACAGAAACTGTATGCTGGCATTTTTTTAATCAGGAGAGAGAATATTTGAAGGCAAAGATTTTTTCACCTGATTAAGTACTACACGGTTACTTTTGGACTTTATCCAACATAACTTCGGCTTCACAGAGCCAAACCATATTCCACCTGGCTTTTTTGAACATTCTGTTCCCCATTTGTAAAAGCCCCCCCAAAATAGAAAATTCAGTATTACATCCCCATTTGCTTTCTTTTGTATATTGACAATCTGGAATGAGGCCTCCTGTCAATGAATTTAAATGAATGAGTTTTTGATAAGAACCTTTTTATGTATAGCAGAGTTGTGGGACATAAGAACTGGAAGACACTTGGATATCAGATAGTTTAGTATCCCTGCATTACAGAAGAGGCCCAGAGAAGCAAGCTGATTTGCCACAGATCACTTGAGTACTTCATGGCAGAGGTTGCCCCACAGGTGTCCCACTGCCCCATCAGAGCCCTCCTTTGTGCCCACAGTAGGGTCCCATGCAGCGGTTCTGGCTCTGCCCTCAACAAGTCTGCTCACACCTCTCTGTGACCAGTGTTAGAAATTTAAACAGAACTGTGATCACGCCTCCTCCCCCTGAAGAGAGGTACCTAAGAGCAGAAATGGCAGTTAGGAGGATGGGAAAGGGGAACTTTAGCAGGAAGACATGAGGGAACAAGGAAGGGTGTTTGAGAGGGAACAGAGGGCAGAGACTGACCAAGGACTGAAGGAGGTATTTTGAGCAGGCTGCCCAGTGCGGGAATCCTGAAAAGAGAGAGACTGGACAAGGATGGGAAATGGCTGGGAAGGAGGCGGTGAGAAGCAGCATGCTGTTCCTCGAGGTCACTGGTCTCGGTTTATACTGACTGAAGGAGGTAGTTTAGATCCTGGACTGAGTATCAGGGTCTGGGGCTTGAGGCCCTGGCTCTGCCACCAAGTCCGTGAGAACTCAGCAGGTCACCTCACCTTTTTGTGTGTCAGCTTCTGGGATCACTATATCATCCCCCAAATCCTTTTCCGCTCGAATCTATTATACAACTCTATGGAATTTCTAAGTGCTTTGACATCATGTGTGATTATAAGTAAAGTCAGCAGAATACCAACCACAGAAATCAGTTGTTGAGAATATGAAGAGTGAAGGAAACAGCGCAACAGGAGGTGCTGAGGGCTGATGAAAGGAAGAGGTGAGGAGCCTGTGTTCTGATCACAGCTCCACCACTCTGGGTGATCACTAAGGGATGTGTACATAATTTCAAAAACCTATGCTTTTTTTAAAAAAAAGATTTTATTTATTTATTTATTTGAGAGAGAGAGGGAGAGCAGGAGCAGAGGAGGGGGAGTGGGTAGAAGGGGAGGGAAGGGGGAGGAGAGGGGAGTGGGAAGAGGGGCAGAGGGAGAAGCAGACTCCTCACTGAGCAGGGAGCCAGATGTGGGGCTCGATTCCAGGACCCTGGGATCATGACCTGAGCCGAAGGCAGATGCTTAACTGACTGAGCCACCCAGGTGCTCCCCAAAAACCTACACTTTTATAAGCATTTTAGGATGGTGGCTGTGGTAAGCAGAATAATGGCCTCCAAAGATATCCATGTCCTAATCCCCTGTACCTTGAATAAGGGACTTGCAGATGTGATTAAATTAAGGATCTTGCAATAAAGAGATTATTCTGGATTATCTAGGTGGGCTCAATATAATCATTAGGGTCTTTATAAGGGAAAGAAGCAGGAAAGCCAGAGGAGATGTGATGATAGAAACAGGGGTCAGAGTCAGAGAGAGATTGGAAGATGCTGTGCTGTGTGCTCTGCAGATGGAGGAAGGGGCCACAAGCCAAGGAACGCCTGCAGCCTGTAGCATCTGGAAAAGGCAAGGAAGTGGGTTCTCCCCTAGAGCCTCTAGGAGGAAAGCAGCCCATTGATTTTAGGACTTCTGGCCTCCAGAATTATAAGAGAATCAGTTTGGGTTTTTTCACCATTAAGTTTCTGATAAATTGTTACCTAGCAGCAACAGGAAATTGCCACAGTGGCCAATTTAGGCCTCTGGAGTTACTCTGCAGAGGGTTCAGCACCAGTGGTTCTCAAGGCTGGCTACCATCAGAATAACCTCTAGGGGTGAGGCCAGAGTTTTGGGTAGTTCTAAAAGTGCTCCCGCTGACTTCCATGTGCAGCCTGAGTTGAGAACTACTGGCTGATATGAGCTAGGGATTTTGCTGGGTGAATGTGATTTTTCTAAGTAGGAGAGTAGGAGCTGCTTATAAGAAAATCTTTCTTTTTCTTTTCCTAATACTTCTCTCTCCCCTCTACCTTTCTGGAAGATAGAAAAAAAAATAGTGTTTGAATTAGAAGAAGGTCAAAAGTGGGAGGTAAAACTATGAGCAAAAACAAAGTGGTTCTATAGAGTAGCTATCTAAGAACACCCATTATGTCCTGCATTTTAAAAAATGCACAATTTTGCATCTTCCAGCCGTCTTAAAATTCAAAAAGATGTAAAGAGATAGACCTCAGACCTTGAAGTCTGCACTCCCCTCTGTGGAAACAGGCTCACCTGGCACAAGCTATGATGCGCTTGTAATCCGAGTCGCCATAGCCTCTGTAGCTGGATGCTAGCACACACGACAAACAAGCAAACAGAAATGACAATAAACCATTTTTAGCTGTTTTGCACCTGTTAGAACAGAATAATTAATGAAAAGGTCTCTGAACACACTTAAAAATAATTTATGATTTGGAAGTTGACACTTCTAGTGATTTTAATGGAAATTCACGGCTACTGACAATACCAATAATTATAACAGTTCTCTGCTCTTAAAGAACTTATAATTTTTTTATTATGTTGTGTTAATCACCATACATTACATCATTCGTTTTTGATGTAGTGTTCCATGATTCATTGTTTGCGTATAACACCCAGTGCTCCATTCAATACGTGCCCTCTTTAATACCCATCACCAGGCTAACCCATCCCCCTATCCCCCTCCCCTCTAGAACCCTCAGTTGGTTTCTTGGAGTCCGTAGTCTCTCATGGTTCATCTCCCCTTCTGACTCCCCCCCTTCATTCTTCCCCTCCTGCTATCTTCTTCTTCTTCTTTTTTTTAACATATAATGTAATATTTGTTTCAGAGGTACAGGTCTGTGATTC